AAACCAAACGCCAATCCAAGAGAGCCAAACGAACCAAATATCAATGCACAAACAAAACACCAATTTTAACGTGGTTCGGCAATTGCCTACGTCCACGGGGCAAGAAGGGGGGTGGGTTTTCACTAATAGAGAAGGAGAGTACAAATTGAGATTACAAATCGCTCAAACGAACCAACTAATCTCACCAACAAATCTCTCAAACTCTCAACCAATAACCCTAACAAATAGCTCAGAAAGATCTCTCTTTTCTGTGCTCCAAAATCCCCAGATTTGCTCCTACAAAACCCTCAAATCGTATTGGTATTTATACCAAAACAGAAACCCAAACAGACTGCAAATAGGAACTCTAACTTTCCAAAAAACCCGTCATAAGTCGACTTAACAGTCTGCATAAGTCGACTTGGCAGAGCGAAAAACAGCAACTGGAGAAGAGATCATAAGTCGACTTATCAGACCTGATAAGTCGACTTGGCAGAGCGAAAACCAACAATCCAGAACAGAACGTAAGTCGACTCATGCACCAACATAAGTCGACTTACCATAAGTCGACTTATGCCTGTGCATGAGTCGACTTATGACCAAAAATCTGCTTTTTCAAATTCTTCTCCACAGAAACTCCAGATCATACTGCATCATTTGGAATTCTAGCTGATGTGACACAGATTGGGAATCGTGTTGATTTGGATGCAGATGATAGATTGATTAATTCGAGTGTAGTTGGTAGATGTAGTCTGGATATGGCCATTGGTTCATCTCAGGTGGAGATGTTTGGATTAGTTCAGTTTGGGGCCATTGGAGGTGCTATCAGCCGCAGACTTGATCGTGATGTTGGAGAAGGGTTGCGAACTCTTCTAGTGGATTGAGGCCTTTGGAGGCCATTTGGGTAAACTACGTTCGGCTTGATTCCTTGGGCAAGAGGATACGTAGGCAGTCTTTCAGATGCAGCCGGTTTGATCAGTTGATTCAGATGGGGGGAGAGATAGCGTTTCAGCTCTAGATTGGTTCCCTGACTTGTTGAGGGACTATTGGATGATTTGATGTCGGCTCAGTTTTGGTGGAAACATTCGCCGAGGTGGAGAATTGAAGAATTACAGGAAAACAGTAAACCCATCTGCCAGGCAGACTGGCGATCGACGGGTGCAGTCGACCGCGAACGTGCACGAAGTGTAGTAGGAATCGGAGCTGGTGGCGGTCGACCGCCGCGGTCGACCGCCGCAGTCGACCGTCGATGTTTCTGGGCTGGGCTTTTGGTTTTCGACCCGATTCGTTTTGTAAGTTATATATATCCCTAAACCTGATTGTTTAGGGTAAGGCAAGGACGAATTTGAGCAGTCTTTGGGAGAGAGTTGTTGCATCCAATTGTGGGAGAGTTGTGAGAGATCAAGAGCATTGTTTTAGGGTTTGGTCTGAGAGATTTGTAACTTTACTTGTATTCTCTGATTTCTAATAGTAAGAATTCCCCCCTCCTTGTCCCGTGGACGTAGGCATCTCGCCGAACCACGTAAATCTCTTGTGTTAGTTGGTGATTGTGCTTGTTTATTTGGTTGTGATCTCTCTTGTTTGGATTGTGTGATTCGAACGCTTCCGCGCCACGCACAACATATAAAACTCTTAAAATTAACTTATTAAGGTTTTGATGTTTTGCCAGGCGTGATATGGAGAAAAAAATTTAGAAGAACACTCCTGAATAGGCAAGGTAATAAAATTAAAACATGCATTGTAACGAAATAATTATCATATAATGATACGCTACTATGATGTGACTAATGCTCATTCCGTTCAAACCTAATCTTTCAAATAATAAGCTGCTTAATTTAAGCTTATCCTAGTACTAAAATTATTATTAATTAAGTTATTTGCTTTCAGTACTAGCTAGTTACCTTATGTTCTAAAATAGTATTTGCCTGCAAGCTTGGTGGTGTTTGGTCATGCTTTTAGGTGTTTCATTAAATTAAGCGAAGTGCTCTCATTGTACTTCTCAAGTGTGTTGGCCATGTTTAGGACAAGCTTAACTGGCTATGGGTAAAGAAGCTTAACTAAATATAATCATTTACTTCTAAAATAGTGAAGTGCTCATTGCAAATTTTTTTTTTTTAAAGAATGCACTTTACTTTTCTTTATTTCCTTTGCTTTTATTAAAAAAATTGAAATTACATCCAGGCAATTTTATTGCAAATAAAAAAAATGCAAAAGCTTAAACAAATCTGAACTCCCCCCTGTAAGAGTGGTGATAGTAACGGTTTCAAAACTATTCCTCTAACCACTCATGAATGATGTAAACTATCTCATTCTATGCAGAAATATGAAAGATAAATTATCATAAAAAATATGAAAGATATTATTCAGATTGAGAATACTAACTAATAGATCGACTTGGTTGGTTCCTAAATTATTCTTAATTTTTAATACTTTAACTAAATTCAAATTTAGAAAATAAATAAGTTTATAGCATGGAAGATGCAAGCATTATAAAGAATTCTGATATACTAAGCCTAAAATGAGTATTCTCCGTGCTAATAAGCATCCAAAATGATCCTTTGCTGACTTGTCAAAAGGTGAGAAATTGAATGGTGATAACTAGAATATTTAACGTTGAATAGTCCAATGCTTTCTTGACGAGTTAGTCTCAATATTGTGATTACTGGCATCAAGCTCCAAGAAAAATGCCGTTGTAGGCAGCGGCAGACAAAAAAAAAAAAAAAAAACTCTTATAGAAGCTTTAGGCAAATATATATTTATTCAAAAAATTAAATATAATGCTATAGAAGAACATCCTTGATAAATAAAAGCTAAATCCCTAATTTAAATGAGCTAAAATTAGTATAGCGTGCAATTATTCTTAAATAACGGGTGTAAATAATAAAATTTCGAAGAGTCTAGAATGCAGTTCCACCTAACTTGAGGGGTGCAACTGCACCGCTAAGATCACAAATAGACCCCCTCTAGCTTGTACGTATGTAACAGGAGCATGCATGGACCTGCAAGCAAAACATCACAGTACACAACAGCATGATTGAATCCACATCTTGAATCTATTGTAGTGATTGAAAACTTGAGATAACGAGACTAACGCCTCGTTTGGTACGCGAGAATGGACATAAATGAGAATGGAATGGAAGAAGGAATAGAATGGATTGTATGTGGGAATAGAATGGTCATTCTCATTCTCATGTTTGGGTACTTTTGTAGAATGAGATTAGAATGAAAATCTCGTTCTCATTCCCATGTTTGGTATCACTTGTCCACAAGTGAGAATGGAATCGCATTTTCTAATAATGTTCTTACAACAACATATATTTTTAATAAGATAAAAATAAACATTAATGATAATAACTAAACAATTTTATTTATGCATATGTTATACTAATTTCTGTGCATGTTATACTATTGCGCATGTTATCTCTCAAGTGTATGTTCTATTTATATTTTTTAAACAATACTCACTATTTCTTAGTCTTAAAAAATTAAAGAAAAATAAATAAAAGATTATCGCATCTTTCATAGGTCCAAAAAAAATATAAAGAATGATATCCACTGTTGATGCATATTGCATATGAAAAGGATGTCAGAATTACTAATGTGGAAATCAGTTGATTAATATGGGTATAATTAAAAAATAAATAACTGATTTGATTCTCTCTTGAATGGGAATGACCATTCCCTATCTTCTCACTTGGAATGCCCATTCCCACAAAAAGTGAGAATGGTCATTCCCTGGGAATGGTCATTCCAACATCTAAAAAGTTGGTTTGTTTGGTATGAAGGAATGAGAAGTGAGAATGCCATTCCATTCCACCTCATTCCCGCCTACCAAACGAGGCCTAAGGGGCTGTTTGTTTGCCAAAAAAAAAAGAAAGAGAAAATGGGGTGCCACATGGGATTTAGGGAAATATCAATAGTGTCACATCACATTTTAGTTTCAAGGGATTTTCAAATCACAAGTTTGTTTCGTTGTGTGATTTAAAAAAATGAGGGTGCCACGTAGGATGTCATGTCAGATTTTGGAGAAAACTCATTTCAAGCCAAAACTCTCTGAAATTGGGTGGAAATGTCACATCGGGCAATATTTAATTGTCCAAAACACTGTTGAAACAGCGGCTAAAGATTAAAAGACAATATTTAATTGCTGAAATCACTATTAAAACAACGGGCGAGTTTTGTTTTTTTTGTTCAAACAAACCCAAGAAATAAAAATGTAGGATTAAAAGACAATATTTAAATGCTGAAATCACTATTGAAACGACGACTGTGTTTTTCATTTCTTTGATTTCAATGTGAAACAAACGGAATAAAAGAAATGCAGGAAGCCCTCTAAAATGTCCTGAAATGGGTTTTCAAACACTGTTTTCCATTTCTTCTTTTTTGGAAATGTACCAAACAGACCCTAAGTGAAAACAATAACCGACAATGATTGATCCTAGACTAACAAATAATTAGGCAATGACTTAAACTGAGTTTTGTTCGGTCAATTTTTAGACAATGATCAAGCCTGGATTGTTCCAACTCTTCGTTTTTTAACTAATCGAAATTTTGCTAGTTTTGGAATAGCCCTCAAACGGCTAAACTGACCATATGAGCTTCCCATCTATAATTTATATAGTATTAGGTGTCAGTTTTCAAACTTTTAGAATATTTGAGTGCAAATTTTAAGAACAATAGAGTATATAAGTGCTGCCAAAGATAAGCGACGGCATACAAGTGAAATCTTTAAAAAAATTAGGGTATATAAGTGTTACCAGAAATGAGTGAGGATATATAAGTGCAAATTAAAGAAAAATGTAGGGCATGTAAAGTGCAATTGGGCCTTAATAAAATAAAATAAAAACTTGCTCTAGGCTCTTGGACCGCAAGCCGTCACTCTCAAAGTCACAACTCACAAGCCCATGTTGAGCTCACTGTAAAAGTCATCTTAGTGGCCCCCACAAGATGGTGACAACAGTTTTCTCTCCATTTTGAGATATATAATAATAAACTAAATTACTTCTCCTCCCAACCAAAAAATAATTTTTTTAACTTAATAAAACTGGTTCGGTTCTCGGGTCACACTTCTCATCACTCCTCTCGCCCCCCCTCTCTATTTGCGTCTATGCGCTGTTCCTGATTCGTTTACTGGTATGAATTTTGAGCTCTCCTTGTTTGTTTTTATTTTCCGTAGCTTGAAATTGAACGTAGAAGCACCCAAAAAAAAAAGTTGTCAAAAAGATCCAAGACAAATTGATTCTATTCATCTAGCCCCTTTTGAGGGTGGCCATTGTCTTAAAGATTGCATTTTGGGTCATGGGTATGTGCTTGTTTCTCTTCTCTCTGTTTGATTGTTGATGGGTTGTTTTTAGAGCCCTTTTATTAAGATCATGTCTTATTTGGGTTTTGAGATTTAGGTGCTGATGGGATTTTTAGGAGCTGATTCCGTACCCAAAAGGTGGTAAATGGTATTTTTATTATTGAAATTTGATGGATGATTTTGAGTAATTCATGTGATTTCTTCATTCCAGGGAAACCCCTTTTTTAATTGACTGCAAGAATGAACTATATCAGATCATTATTGTTCTATGAGTTTTTAAATTTATCTTTTTGCCAACCCCTCTAATAGTGCAAGTGGAGCTTTTTCACCCTTTTACCTTCACGATTCTCATTATTGTGCCCTTGTGATTTGCAGCTGTGCATGTGAGATTGGTTGGTTTAAGAAGGCAAATAAAAGAGGGAGAGATTTCAGTGGATTTAGAATTGTCCAAAAATCAATTATTTGGGTTTCTTCTCTAGTCTTTGTAGTTTGTGTGGAACTTAGTGGATGGGTATTCAGACAATGACTTCTCAGGGTGGCGGTGGTGGGCAGCGATCTCAGGTTCAGAGTCTAGGCCGTCAGGGTTCTCTCTATAGTCTCACCCTCAATGAGGTTCAAAACCACTTGGGGGAGCCTTTACACAGTATGAACCTTGAGGAGCTCCTCAAGGGATTGGACACAAACCAAGAAGTTGACAGCCATGCCGATCAATACGCTTCTAGCTCTGGCCTCCAGCGTCAAGGAAGCATCACCATGCCCCGCGGCTTGAGAGACAAAACAGTAGACGAGGTGTGGAAAGATATTCAAAATGGCCATGAAAATAAAGATGCCAATGACAGGAGGTCAGACCAGGAGAGGCAACTAACATTCGGTGAGATGACATTAGAAGATTTCCTGGCGAAGGCTGGAGTGGTCCCCGAGGGATCATTGAAAAATGCAAACAATGTTATGGAAAATGCCGCTGTTGGTCCGATGGCTGGTCAAGGATCGCATTGGTTGACTCAGCACCATCAGCAAAATGTGATGAGGGCTTATTTTCCGGGATGTGGAGTTGTGCAACCGATTGGTGTTGGGTCGGGAACAATGATGGATGCGATGTATCCGGAGGTTGTGTCGTCGCCGACGGTAGGGGCGATGTCCGAACCACAAACACCGGGCCGGAAAAGAGGGGCGTCGAGTGATGTGCCGGATAAGTTGGTGGAGAGGAGGCAGAAGAGAATGATTAAAAACCGGGAGTCTGCTGCCCGTTCTAGAGCTAGGAAACAGGTAGTAGGATTACCTCTCGCTCTGATTATGTTATTTTTTTGGGTCATGTGATAAAGAGTATCGCTAATGGGGAAAGGAACTAGAGCTAGGCCTGAAAGAATTTGATAGAAAGCAATTAAGAAGAATTTGATAGGGTTTTTTTTATATAAGTTCCTAAACTCTTCAGTATTTTGAAATTAGTCCATCAAATCATTGAAATTGCTATTTGGTCCCCCAATTCTTAGGTTATTTTGAAATCAGTCCCTTAAATCATCAAAATTGCTATTGCTATTAGGTCCCCCGATTCTCATAAGTTGTTTCAAGTTAGTCCTTCCGATTAAGAGTAGAAGTAGTTGGAGGGATTAATTTGAAATAACTTGTGAGAATTGGAGGAAGTGATAGCAATTTAAATGATTAGACGAACTAATTTCAAAACATTAAAGGTTTTAGGGACTAATATCGAAACACTAATATTTAACTAATGGAGGAGGTGACCCTTAAATAGAATTGGATCGAAGAATAGCATTCGGATAGACCTCAAAAATTTGGGAGAAAGGTTTTGTGGCTGTCGTTTTGCTTTTAATGTTATTTGCGGGGAAATTGTTCTTTAATGTGATTGATTGTATTTTGATTTTGCAGGCCTATACCAATGAGTTGGAGAACAAGGTCTCTCGCCTGGAAGAAGAAAATGAGAGGTTAAAGAAACAGAAGGTAGCTTCAATCATCTCTGTTTAGTTACCAATTTAGTCTAACCTCTTTCATGTTACCTGATTTTTCAAGTTAGTTGCATAACTCATTTTGCATTGAGGTTGTTAGACTTGCATAATGCATCCGGCAACAGTTATTCAGTGTTTGCCGATATTGGGTAATATTTGGCGTTCCATACAATGTTTCCGATAGCATTTCGTCATGGCTTATAATTAATTAACCATACTAATACTTTAGTTCATTTTTTGGGCTTTTAGGGGTTACTCATTGATGCTATCATGTTAGCAACAAAGATTGACATAACTGATATTTAAAAAGTAATGTTTGTTTCATAGATGTGTCCAATATCGGTGTAAACTTGAGAATCATCTGTATTGTGGATACTATTTGCTTTATTAAATTTAAATTTCAAGTCTTTCAAAGTACTTATTACTAAATGGAAAGGTTTGGACTATAGATTCTCCAAATAATATCGAAATGAACTCAAGATCCTGCGGCTACTTCCTTTTCGCAAACATCAAGCTAGTTTTATATTAATCTTTGGTATTCTTTACTAGCCCTAGGTTGAGACATTGTTTGGCAGATAGATTAGTTGTTGGGGCCTAGGTAAAATTATTTTTTTCAGATCATGGCTCCATTGTCAACATATGTTTATAACTCAAGTTTAATTAGTTCTTCATGTTATATTATTTTAATAGTTTGGCCTCTACATTTCGCTTGTTTAGGAATAGAAATATCTGTTTTTTTCCTTAAAGCTTGAAACTACTGCAGAAACATTGGAAGTAAGTTTGCTATGATTATTGCACTGCAACTCATCTCTGAGTTATACTAATCAATTTTCTGCTTACATGACCTAAAATCACCCTAAAATTTTAATCAAATTCTTGGTAATGGAGAAAGTTAGAAATTAAATGTGAAGCAGGACATACTAGTCCTTTTACCTCTCTCTACTTTGTCGTAGTAAATATTATTTTGGCATTCTTCAGCTCTATGAAACATGATATTCGTCTCTTCTCGTTCCATCCTGCATCCGTTATCATTTTTCCTGTGGCTATAGAAAAATTATGAATTTGAGACTAATGTTTGTCTTTTGGTTTTTAATATACATTGGAAACATCATATGTCTTGATCTAAGTTTTTGATTTTGGTAGGTTGAGTTTACGGTCTTCTAAATTATAGTCTCCACCTAACTTTACCAACAAGCCTCCTCGAATATTATGATAAACTAATGAAACATTGATTCTTTTATATCGTCCCATGGAAAAAATCATAATTTCCATGAGTGTAAGCAGATTAATCCCTTTTCATAATAAAATATTGATTCTTTTATATCCTCCTGTGGTTTATATTTTTGTTCATCTTAGCCTGGTTCGAGACTTCAAATTCCAAACAATTTGGTCTTTAGTAAAAACATTGAATGGAAAAAGAGAGTTGTTTAGAGAAGCTCGAAAATCATTACCTTGTGTAGGCAGAGTCACCGAGTAAAGATAGTTTCTTTAAAATAACTTTCGATTTTTTCCTTTTCTCAATGCAATATAATATACTTAAAGTCATGTGTAACTTATTAAATTATTCTTTAAAGACATCACATCCTAGTTTTTAAGCAGTTTTTGTTAGGTAATAATTCTTCCATTAACTGACTGGATTGCTATACTGATTTCCCTTTTTTAAATGCTTTGTGATGTATGTTGAGAAATAAATTGTAAGATATATAGTATTTATGCGATAATATTGTAAGATATATAGTATTTACTATTTATGCTATAATAGCTAAATGTTATACTGCATAAATAACAGTAAGTTACACAATTAGAACCATTCTTTATGCTTTAATATTCTTTGTGCGTTTTTTTCTTTTTTTTTCTTCGATATACCTTAAAAGCCCGTGGTTCATATTTGTGCAAAACTTCATACCAACGTCCTCAACACACACCTAAAGTCAGGTGTCCATATAAATGGACTGAATGACTTGTAATCTAGTACAATGCCTAAATAGTCAACTTTTCTTTGTCCATCATTAATCTCTGACTAGTAGCATTCAGCAATGATTCTGTTAGTGTTGATTAATATAACAGCTAACTGATCTTTTTTCTCTATAAATCTTAGCAACACAATGTCTTCAAATGCTATTGCAAACAGTATATCGTACATACTATGAGATGACTCATTGGTTTCTAGCATATTAGTAGGTTGCATTCTGTATGAAGCATTCCTTCGAACAGTTTCATATTGTCTGTATTCATTTAATCCAAACATGTGTAGACAAGAAATTTGTCCTCCCAAAGTTTCAGAAAACTTTCAGGGATGTCATATTTCTGTTGGCATAGTATTCATTTGCCTGTTGCCTATACCATGAATGCAACAGTGTATTTAAAAGAGTACGTACACATACCCAATCATTTGAATGGCTCTATGTTTTTGCTTCACACTATATTCATCCTAATCAGGAAAAGTCCTTAGGATCATGTATATCACCTTCTTAAGTTCTACACAGTTTATAGGTTGCAATAAATATGATTTTGAACATATATTGTTTCTAGTCTTCTTTTGAGCGAGTAGGGGTACATCCTCTACCATAGTTGCATGCTCTGAGGTTCCCTTGGTTGCATTGCATTAACAAAACCCTAAATTTATTGTCTGGATGCAATATTCTGCAAAATCTGTGAGAACTATGATGATGATTTAATTATCTCCGTGTCTCCTTTAGGTATGTCTAAGGAAATCGAGGATATTTGTCAGTTGAACCCTGTATTTCATTTTTCATCAAATATATGTTCAGTGGCAGTTCAAAATGCTTATTGATCTTCTGGAGGTCAGTTGGTGGCCTATAATGGAGTTGAGGTCAACTTTATCCCTCTCTTGTTCAAGTCCATTGGATGCCCTTCATAATTCTATGGACCATTTTACTCATCATAGAACCATTTTTATCATGAGCACCATTATTACCATTATCTCCATCCAAGCTTTGGATATAGGATCAGCTATGGTGCATAAGTCATTATTCAACCTCTTAAGGTAGAATCAACTTATATCTTATGAATATAAGTGCGAATCTGGCCGCTAACAATTTGAGTAACTTCCAGCCCTGGAGGTTCATTCCTTAGATTATACTTGACATTTTTAACTGGAAATACTCAAATTGGCAGCAGAAGCAAGTACTCTTACAACAGTATGAGAAATTAAATAATTTATTTCTTCAAGGGCATTTTCATTAGAATGTGAACTTGACTGCCTGGGGTTATCATTGTAGCTTTTTTTCAAAAGTAATTTAAAAATGTACTCATAGATATAGTCAATATGTAGGAACTTGCTTGAAAGGAGATTCATCAACATTTAATGGATTTAGGCTGTGCAAGAATCAAAAGCCTGGTTAAGTCTTTTTACCATAGTGCCCAATTAAGCTGTTAGAGAAGGGTTCAAGCTGTTTAGTTTACATGGGAATATAGGATGTTGGTCACTATGTGGTTATATGACATTGAATCTACATTAGTATTCGATTTTTCAGGAAGTGAATAGTGTAGTATCATGGGTTGAGTCACTGAGATGAACCTCATGGTCCACTTTTACTGTCTTCATCCAGCTATTGATTTTAACCTCATCATATTATTTACTAGTTTGTTCATATTTGTTTTTTTGTTTCCCTTACAACCGCCTAATTTAGCCAAGGGAGAACTGTCCTTATGAAGAATTGAAAGTTTAGTGGAGTGCTCCTCTACTCACACTCACATTTACCCCTGTACTCGTGCCTTTTTGGTAACAGATACCTGCAGTTACTGAATTAACTACTCTAGCACAAAGTTTTCTCTAGATCTAGAGATAAAAATAACTCCGATGTCGGTATATAATCTGTTGCCAACATCAACATGGGATCTTTCCCAACGTGGGTGTTGGACGTGGATAATTGATGTCACAGTTATTAGCTTCAACCATTTATATTGAGGATATCAATGGTTGAGATTAATCCTTCATTAGACTTTTATGATGAATTTGTATGTGCCCATTCAATAAAAGAAGGCCGTGCTAATTTAATGACGGAGGTGGCATATAATATAGGCAGTTGCAGAAAAAGGAGTAATGTGGTATAGCCACATAGTTTGGAGAAGATTTTCCCTGTCATCATTGCTGTTATTTAAACTTCTGCAAGTTGTTTTCCTTGACGTCTCTTGACAACCCATGGTGGTGGTGGTTCTCCTCTTTCTCAATGTATTTTCTTTGTAGTGTGAGTTTTAAGATTATTTGACTTAAAATTTTTCTTCTGGATGCTGTATAGGGACAGGGATGTGTAGTCTCTTTATGTTCAGCAGCTTTACTGCTTTTGCCATAATATCTCTTTTGACATAACTATCTCACACAAAACCACATATACTTGTCCTTCTCATTTCTTTGTTACAATGTTGATTTATTTTTATGAAACTGGTGGTAAATTGCTTTTTCTAGTCTTCTACATATAAGCATATGCCTGAAATTATTACCTGATGACACAGCATTAGGATGACTGGATAAGTGATCAGTTGAAGAGTTTGAAGTGGTTCTTCTTGAGAAGTGAGAATTGATGGTTCTGGAGTGTGAATCAAGTTTTGAATAAGCAGCTACAATTGATCAAAGAATGAGTGAACACGTGGATGTGAAATGAAGGGCATTTCCTGAGGGATAACCTTGTCTAGTGTGCTAAGGATTTAAGATACTGGTTTGAATCAGTGAATCAAATATATAAACATAAATGGTTTGCTCTTGATCTCTTTTATAAATTCCAGAAGAACAACTCTGATTGTGGCCCCATAAGGAAGTTTATATTTTTGCCTAAGTTGCATTGTTACATACATAGATGTGTGATGCAATATGATATGAAGATGGTCATCTGAAAATCTTGAAAATTATACTCACAACAGGGTATGCCATTCTGAATGGTATCTTTGTATCAACGTTACCTGGTATTTCTATCATGAAGCCATACCCGTACCCGACGAGTACCTGTACCAAAACTTCATTGACACTCCTTAGATATATGCATATATTTCTTCAGGGATGTACCCAATTATACGATACATCTTTTAATTTAAAACACTTGTCATACACTTCTTGGATGTATATCCTATATTTCACAGCCATTTCTTGAAACTCGCTAGACATCAATATATATGTAGCCGTGTTCTCGTACATTACATTTTACAAATTTGCCATGTCTTGTACCTATACCTGCACCCATACCGGTACTCGCACCCATGTCCATGCAACTTAGAGCTGAGAAATATTAGATAGTTATCAGACTACTAAGATGAGCACAACTAAATAAAATTAAGAACTGATAGCTAATGTACTAGTACACTGCATATGGTTATTCCATGTTGGTATAACGTACCATGCAAATTTTACAGCTAGCATCCAAGAAAGTCGACATTGAGGAATTAGTAATTTAAAACTCTCCCTTAGCAATTTATTATTATGTTTTAACTGTAACCAAAAACATATAGCAAACATCAGTGTAGAGTATGGGTTGGAGGTACAATGTGATACCAGATGCCAGTATCTTGAAAATATGGGACAGGATGTAGTAAAGCTACATGAAGACTGAATAGTAACACCTACATCCATATTATCATGTGAATTTTATTCCTCTACTCAGAAGCCAGACTAAAAATGGTAAAAAAACACTAATAAGACGGACATTATAAAATGAGTTTCCAAATGTATGGATTCATTGTTTAAATGAGGAATAAGTGCATTCACAATTAAAATTGAATCATGAACTCTATGGTTAAGATATCATATCGCTTACCTAATCATTGATACATATTGATCATGTATCTTATATATCATGGATACTCAAAATGGTTCTTCACCGGATCCCTCTGTTTTTCATGTGATTTTAAGACACTGAAGCAGAAAGCAAATATTGCTTGAATCTAAAAGATCCTAAAATCTTTGTCTATCCTAACCAATTTCTTTGCCAAATTAGGACTCAGCAGTAAAATCTTTATTTGATCCTCAAGATGTTTTGTGTCACATGGCATATGTTAGGAGTTTCTAATTATGTGAAAATGAGTAGATAGAACTAAGCTTATGATTCTAGAAGTTCAAACAGTTTTCAGTGGAATCTATATGTTTTAATGTACAACAGTCATGTGAACTGTGCGTATTTAGAAAGCAGAGTCGGTAAATGTTTTGGCATTTTTTGGGTAAAATGAAATACTTGGGTGTGCCGACCACATTAGACTCATACAGTTATACCATGTCTTCTAAATCATTTTCTCACGTCTAAGTTAATTATATGAGAAAGAGAGAATAGTAAGTATATGATAAGGGGAGGGAAAATTTTACATGCACTTCCAATGAATATTTCCCATCCCAGATTATTGAAATAACAAGGCCATAAAAATGGCATTAGTGTTGAAAGCAATTCATTTTTGCTTGACATAGAGCAATTAGAAAAACAAACATCAGCGTAAACTTGTAATCAATTAATCTAAAAGGAATTTCCTAAGAGATGTTGATAATAAGTTGAGAAATTAATCAATTATTATATGCTACATGTTCTTTAGATCAATTAACAATATGCCCTGAATGCAGTTACTATTATTCAAGCCAGATGTTATTTCTTGTTTTTCTTATTCAGTTATTTGTAAAGCTTACCCAATAACAGTCTTGCATCTTCCTACATCAGTACTTTTGAGGGGGAAAGAATCTCATTGTTACCATTATTGTATATTCTAATGGGCGATAGTAGGAAACATACACCACTATTTATCTCCTGGATAATACCTTCCAAATTCATTTTTGATTTGACAGTAAATGTTGTAACTTAGGTATCATCTCACGTCGGGATATCTTTATTTGCTTTATTCGGCACCTTTCTCTATTTTCTGCCCTCCAACCATATACATTATTATGAAATGTTTTATATCCTCTTCCCTATATTTGCCACTGCCAAGATAATAGAAACTGCTGCATAAATGCTTTTGAAGCCATTAACATGTGGAGTAACTATGGAATTTTACAGAGAATGCGACTCTTAGCCTTAAAAATGCTCTTTTGGAAAAGTTTCACTTCTGCCTTTTCAGTAAATTCATACAACTTGGTCTTTTTATCTGCAGGAATTGGACAAGATATTAGATGCACCCCCACCAGAACCAAAGTACCAGCTCCGAAGAACCAGTTCAGCCTCCTTCTGATGTTTTCACAATAAGTTTTTGTAGATTAACGGGTGTTTTTCTTTCTTTGTTTTCATGTTGTAATCGAAGTTATGCGAAATTATGTTAAACGACATGTTCAGGTATATCTAGTTGTGGGAGCGTGGGTATCTTTGGCTGTTGCTAATGTAAATCTTCTAGGAAGTTAACAGGGACATTCAGACATTGGCATTGTTCTTATAAACATAATATAGCCAACTGTATGTGTGCAAATATTGTATGAAACAATACTTATCATCCTATCATAAGGTGAACCGTTTTTGTTGGTTACATTGTATTTCTACTAATTGTAGACTAAATTTTGAGTAAAGGTATAAGAACTGAGATATTTTCCTTTTCCTCTGTTGGGTATTATCGGTATATCTAGGAAACATGGAAACATGCTAAGAGTCTTGATTATGAGTAGTTTGCGTCCTACTTTTAACTATTTTTTATTCAGGCTTTATGGTTGAAAATAGCTATGCCGTACTTTTGAACTTTGAGCGAAACACAAGTATGTCGATATATACTTACGCTGCCATGCATCTCAATGAGAATCAGGGACTTCCATCCATGATCCAAGTACATTGATGATTGATAAACCAAGAAGGTCTCAGCGAGTGGTCAAGAAAAATCCAAAGTATTTGGATTAAAAAAGGATTTTACCTCATGAGCCATGCAATGGGATTACTTGACAGGTTGCAAGGAAGAAGTCCAAGTTTGTTAAACGTGTCCGCTAGCTTGGTTACTGAAGAATCGGATAAGTAGTTAATAACTTATTTCTGTTATTTTGTTGCCACTAGTCTATCGTATCCTATTTCTTAGAGACATGGCCTAAGAATTAGGATTGGTTGTTATTTTCCATTGTTATTTAAACTCCTTCCCAGTTGTTAATAAGGCAAGCTTATTTTCAATCAAAACACATGTGGTTCGTTCTCACCCGAAGAGAACTTATTTCCTAATATTCTTATAGCTTTGACTGGGACCTATCATTGGTGTCAGAGCTATGGCAACCAACAAAGAAAGAATTGAAAAGCTTGAAGCTGGACTAGGAGGAGTTCAAGATAGTCCGAGTCGAATAGAGATTGGTGTGGCTGACAAATTCACTCAAATTGAGACTGCCATCGGCAAGCTGTCAGAAGTTCTACTGGCCAACCTGGTGATCCGCCTACCAACTCTCCTATTGGGCGCCTCCGCAACACAGTGGAGGGGACTCGGGGTAGCTCTGAAAGAGGACGGCCATTGTTCTTTTCAAAACTAGCTAAGCTAGAATTTCCTCGTTTCTCATGGGGACGATCCAACTGAATGGTTCACAGGAGCGGATGAATTCTTTGAGCATCAAAGCACTCCCGAACAGCAGAAAGTGTCCTTAGCTTCCTTTCGCCTTGAAGGCGAAGCAAATCAATGGTGGCAATGGCTGAAAAGATCCTATACGGAAGAAAATAAGGAGGTAACATGGGGAATTTCCCAAGAAGAGCTACGAGCAAGATTTGGTCCTACCGAGCGTGAGGATTTTGATGAAGCTTTGTCGAGGGTAAAACAAATGGGCTCCTTACGTGATTATCAGAAAGAGTTCGAGCGTCTCGGTAACCGGGTACAAGGCTGGCCACAAAGAGCTTTAGTGGGGGCATTCATGGGTGGAGTTCGAGCGTCTCGGTAACCGGGTACAAGGCTGGCCACAAAGAGCTTTAGTGGGGGCATTCATGGGTGTGTCTCAATCCAGAAATATATAGATGATGGCATAAGAATTAATGTTCAGACCGAGATCGCTGAAGGAAGCCATAAGGCTTGCGAGGATGAGAGATGAGCAATTGAGTCGCCAGAGAAAAGTTGTTCGTCCTTTTAGCCGATCCATTGCCGACTCTCCTTCTCCGGTGAAGTTCAAGGGAACTACTCCTATCAAAAGGCTCACTTGGGAGGAAATGCAAAGGAGAAGGGCGCATAGGTGCCGAGGGCCTCAACTTCTACTCTTAGATGGTAGCAATGACAATTCGGAAGATGATGAAACTGAAGACTCAATGGAACAACCACCTGAGATTTCTCTACATGCACTTTCGGGTTGGACAACTTACAAGACGATGCGGGTGATGGCGCGGATTGGACCATGTGAAGTGGTGGTCTTAATAGATAGTGGGTCTGCTCACAATTTTATTAGCAAGAAGATGGCTAATTTGTTGCAACTACCTGTACTTCCAGCCGAGCCATTCAACGTTAAAGTGGTGAATGGAGAGACATTTAAATGTCAAGGCAGATTTGAAAATGTCCCAATTATGCTGCAAGGTATTCCTTTTGTCCTCACTTTATATGCCCTACCTTTAATTGGATTGGACTTGGTCTTAGGTGTCCATTGGTTAGAGCAATTGGGAACAGTGACATGCAATTGGAAGAAATTAACCATGGAATTCTAGTGGGATAATAAAAATAAAAAATTACAAGGAATTAGCACACACTCAATTCAATCTACAACTATGAAAGCCATCACCAAGGAAGCACGACACGGAGGATCCATGTTTGTTGTTTCTCTTCAGCCCACATCAGATTCCACACCATTGACTGTCGAACCAGAGATGAGCCAATTGCTACAGAAATTTGATGATGTCTTCCAAGAGCCAACACAACTTCCACCTACCAGAGAAGTCGATCATCACATCAATCTGAAAGAAGGTACCGAGCCAATCAATGTGCGACCGATACATGTATGCCTATTTCCAAAAAGCTGAAATTGAAAAACAAGTTCAAGATATGATAAAATTGGGGCTTATAAGACCTAGTACTAGTCCATTTTCACCTCCTGTTTTGCTGGTTAAAAAAAAGATGGTTCGTGGCGATTTTGTACGGACTATAGAGCACGCAATGCTGTGACCATCAAAGATAGGTTTCCCATTCCTACAGTTGACGATATGTTGGATGAGCTTCATGGGGGCATCTTATTTCACCAAACTTGACTTAAGGGTTGTTTATCATCAGGTACGAGTACACCACACCGACATTCAAAAAACTACTTTTCATACACATAATGGTCATTACGAGTACTTAGTTGTGCCATTTGGTCTTTGTAATGCACCATCCACCTTTCAAGCCATTATGAATTCCATATTTCATCCACATCTCCGCAAATTCATTCTCGTATTCTTTGATGACATCCTAATTTATAGCCCCAATTGGATCATGCATCTTGAACATGTTAAAATAGCTTTAGAAATATTAAGGCATCATAAATTTTTCGTCAAAATCAGCAAACTTGCTCTTGGCTTACAAGAATTGGAATACTTGGGTCACATTTTCACGGCTCAAGGAGTTAAGGTGGATCAAGGGAAGATTCAAACTATGCTAAATTGGCCTAAGCGTACTAATGTTTCTGAGCTGCGTGGTTTTTTAGGACTTACAGATTATTACCGCGAGTTAGTTCGTAATTATGGCATTATAGCACGCCCTCTCACCAACCTGTTAAAGGAGGGTCAATTTGCGTGGTCGGACGAAGCAGAAACTGCATTCCAAGAGCTTAAGCAGGCCATGACTACTACACCAATACTTGTTATGCCAAATTTCAACGAACCATTCACCATTGAATTTGATGCTTCGAGTCACAACATAGGAGCAATTTTGAGTCAACAGGGGAAGCCTATTGCATTCATGAGCCGAGCTTTGGGTGCTTCTAAATTATCATGGTCCATTAATGCGAAAGAGATGTTAGCCATAATTCACGCAATACGACTGTGGAGACCATACTTGATGGGCATGAAATTTTTCATCGCGACCGATCAACGAAGCCTCAAGTATTTGCTAGAACAACGCATAGCCACACCTGAGCAACAGAAATGGGTGACTAAACTTTTGGGTTATGAATATGAGATCAAATACAAGTCAGGGCAAGAGAACAATGCCGCAGATGCACTATCACGGGTAGCAGGTAGTCCTAGTCTTCATCATTTGTTTGTGTCTCAAAATCCATTATGGAATACAATTAAAAACGAAGCTATCGACAACCCTTACATGCAAAGAATCGGCAAGCTTGCAACTGCCCGGCAATCTGTACAGATGGCACAATGGTTTGGTTTACTTCAAGAATCGGGTGGTAGTGCCTCCTCAATCCAACGTTATCTCACAGATTTTACAAGAATTCCATGATTCTCCAATTGGTGGGCATTCCGGTGTACTCAGGACATACAAGAGAATCTCACAACAATTTTACTGGCCATCCATTTACCAAACAGTGAAAAATTATGTTTCTTCTTGCGATGTTTGTCAACGAACCAAGCAACAAACTTTATCACCAACTGGGCTTGTACAACCACTACCAATTCCTTGTCAAGTTTGGGACAATGTCACTCTTGATTTCATCGATGGCCTTCCACCTTCTAATGTTAAAAATTCAATTCTTGTTGTTGTTGACAGGTTAAGCAAATCAACACACTTTATGGCTCTTTCTCATCCATATACAGCAAAAGTGGTGGTTGAAAAATTTATTGACGGGGTGGTGAAGCTTCATGGCATGCCTCGATCCATAATTAGTGACCGCGATCCCATATTCATCAGCAATTTCTAGAAAGAGTTCTTCAAAATGTTAAGCACCCAGTTGAAGATGAGCTCCGCTTGCCACCGTAAACTGATGGCCAAACGGAGGTCGTCAATAATCGATGCCTTGAACAATATCTCCGCTGCTTTTCTCATCAACAACCTCGCAAATGACATTCCTTTCTCCCATGGGTTGAGTTTTGGTACAATACCACGTACCATATCTCCACCAGCATGACTTCATTTCAGGCTCTCTATGGCAGACCACCTCCAACAATACTCCACTACCATGTAGGCCATTGTCCAGTCAATGAAGTTGATCAAAGCTTTGTTGGCCTTCTTATTTTAATGATATTTTAACAAATAATTTACAACTAATATTTTTTATCTAGTGTTTGTGTTTTCTTATTTATTCTAGGCAAACAATGAGTTGGAGGTTGGATGGAATCGAGCATTCACGATCATATCCGTTGGAGGTTGGCGGAATAGTGGAATGAAGTTTATGCATACTAGTCAAGATCCAAGTTTAAGCTTCATCTATATTTACCAAGTTGATCTTATTGAAGATCAAGATAGCTTGGGTAATTTAGTTTTAGGTTATATTATGTGTGTTCAATACTTTAAGCTCAATATCATATACACACACATTTTATTGATTTATATATATATATATATATATATATATATACTATATAGTATTATATATATATATATAATATTATATATAACGGAAAGGTGATTCTAAGGTGACCATTAATGTTCTCACGTAAGGATCGCG